TAGGCGCAGGCTGGGAGGAAGCCGCCCACCGCGGAGAGGCCGGAGGCCGACTGTGCGGAGGGAGAGGGACAGACCATCAGCCGCAGGGAACCCGCCGACTCCTGCAGCACGTGCAGTTACCGGAACAAACGGGGGATGCCCCTTTCCCCTGCTGCCCCCTCAATCATCCCCACGCAATGCTTGTCCTCTAATTTTCCTAGGAAGGCCCCTGGCCAAGTGATTTCCACTCGAATTGTTATAAATAATAATGAGATGAGAGGTTTCCTGGTATTCACCAGCCCAGCTGGGGTTTAAAGAGAACCTCAGCCATCTGTGTTCTGGGTTCAAGTTTTTGTAGCAAAAGTATCTTGGCAAAAGGCAACGCAATCCCCTCAAAAGCCAGCTTCCCCCAAAGTGTGAGCTTGAGAAAAGGAGAGAAAATGCTGAGAGAGCCCTGGGTGACAGGGCGGGCTGCCAGGCCTGGGGAGTTCTCTTTCTTTCTCTTTCTCCCTCCTCTCCCTCCCCCAACTCCTTCGCTCTGCCAGTTAAGGACACCTCTTCCCGGACCCTTGGTTACCTGAGTGTATTTAATGTCCGCCTCCAGTGCTGGTTTATCGAGCCCATTCACTGCCGAGGTGGCCGGGAAGGCCGTGCGGTTCACGCTGGCCCAGTCTTCCATCTTGGGGGAATAGGTGGTGCCTTCGCTCCCAGCCAGGGCCCCTGAGGGGACACGGGACAGGTTAGTGGGGACGTCCCATCCGAATCTGCGCTGGGCTCGAGCGCGGCCCTCCAGCCCGAGGGTGACACAGGTGCTTACAAGCACCCAGGGCATCTCCGAGGGCGCGGCCCAGGGTCCTCCGAACACCTGCGGCTTCCAGATGCTCGGAGAGCGGCCCAGGGGGGCGGAGGGGGGCGGGCATAGGGTTTCGAGTTCACTCCTTAGCGGGGCAGAGGCTGTTCCCCGTTCCTCCAAAGCCTGCGCCCCGCTTTCCGCAAAACAATGGGTCTCCGGCGGGGAGACGGCCTGTGAGACCGGGCTGGTCCCACTCGGCCAAGGTGCCTTTCCAATGTCCAGAGGGGGCGCCCGGAAAGGTTCAAGGTCAAACCCAAAGCATGTCCTGAGAATCATATGGGTTTCTCAAAGCCTCAGCACGTCTCCGGAGGGTTTGGAGACGGTTCTTCTCAGAAAAGCCTCCGGAGATCCCCGTGTCTCCCCAAAGAGGCGCCAACCCAGCCACCCCGGCAGCCCCGGCACTCGTCTGCTCCTCCGCACGGGTGCGCTGGGGGAACCCAGAGAAAGTTCTAGAACTGAGAGCAAACCCGGTGCGGCCGCCTCCCAGCCAGCTGCCCCCAGGTCGTTCCGGGGAAGTTGTGCACCTCACCTCCCACCCCCAGGCTGGGTTCGAGCCACCGGAAGAAACAAACCTTGTGTGAGGCCTGGGCAGCGGCCCCACTGCCTCTGGGTCTAAGCTTTCCTTTCTTTCCGCTGCCCGACCCCCTCCTCTTTGGGGCTGTGGTGAGCTTTGCTTCTTACTCATGGAAGAGCTTGCTATCCCTTGCCCGGCTGCTGGGACAGGAGGCAGTGCAGAGAAAATGGGCACTCAGGCCGGCCCAGGCACATCTCCCGAGCCCCGCATCAAGGCCGCCACAGTCTTCTCTCCCTACTCCACCTCCTTCCTCCCTGGGCGAGATGACCAGCAAGTGAACAGAGTTCTAATTACAGGCAAAGGGCACATCCTTGTGAGTCCTGAGGCGCCACCACCGGAGATCCCAGCTCCAGAACCTGCAGCGCCGCCAGGCCTGCCTGAGGTCACTAGATAAGACCGGCCTGGTGGCCCTTTGCCTTTTACTGGAAAGAGCCTTTGGGCCTGGGAGGGACAGAACCTTTTGGGAAACGGTGAGGTTATCCTGAAAAACCCTTAAGAAAGGGCCGAAGAATTGACTGAGGCTTGTTTGGCTTAGATCTGGCGATAGGGGTGTTGCATATTTTTTGCAAGAATAAAGGGGGAAAAAGGCAATTTCAGGCCTCCAAATTTGTGGTCGGCGATGGCTCTTCCGGGAAATATTTTCCACATTTGTCATAAAAAGTTCAAGATGTCTCCCATATTAGGCCCCGGACCCTCAACCTCCCTGGCCAGCCCTAGCCCCCGGAGCCTGAGCCAAAACAGGTCCAAGGAGGACTAGGAGTTACCCCTCATCCTCATTGCCCAAGCCCTCATCTTCAATTCTGTCCCTTCCAAGAAGGCTCCAGAAGGCCTCCACGACTGACCTGTTTGCTCCATAAACGTCCGGATGCCCAGGATGTTGCTGACTGAGTGCGCGGAGGGCCAAGAGCGGGGAATGCTGACGTGGCCGGCGGTGCCCGGGACCCCGTGGTGGCTGCCCATCTTGGAGCCGCTGGGGGACACGGGGCTGGGGTAAGGGTACTGATAGATGTGGTTGTAGGGCAGCGCCGGCTGTGGCGGCGGCTGCTTGCTCGCCTCGTAGGGCCCGGGCTGCGCCAAGCTGCCAATCTTATTGCGCAGGATGCGGCTGATGGAGCTCACCGAGGGCACGTTGTACTTGTCGCAGACGCCGTCGGCCAGCAGCCGGTCGCGGATCTCCCAGGCAAAGATTCCAGGGTCGCCCTGCTTGTAGTCCCGGATGTGCTTGACCACGTTGGGGGTGGTGACTCGGGGTTTGCTGCCCCCGATGGCCCCGGGCAGGATGGAGCCGGTCTCGTTGTAGCGCGCCAGGATCTTGCTCACGCAGCCATGGGAAACGCGGAGTTGCCGGCTAATGTCACAGGGTCGGATGCCCAGCTGCGCTAGCTCCACGATGCGCAGGCGGATGGCGTTGGGCAGGGGGCGTCCGTTGACGAACACGCCGCCCAGCTGGTTGACCTCGCCGTACGTCTGCTCTGCGGACGCGCCAGAGGACAGTGAGCGGAGGGGAGAAAACACCAGCGGGTTAGCCAGGGTGGTCGCACTGCGCGGGGGGCCGCGACTCGGGAAGTGCCCGGCAAATACCCAGGATCTGCGGGCCAACAGCCTGGGTCTGCCCCCGGGGTAGGGCGGGGCGCACTACAGCCCTCCGTGCCCTTTTGAGGGGGTCTCGCTTGGGACATTCCATCCCCGGACGCGCCTGCGCCGCCGCCGCCCGCTCCCCAGACACTCTCCACTCCCGCGACCCCAGGCCTAGGGGGAACTTCATCCGATTCAGAGAAATTCGTCTGACCGGGAGGCTGCGGCGTGTGAAGATCAATTTTACGTGTCCTCCACGTCAATCTCGGCAGTCGCGCCGGAGACGCGCGAGTTGGCAGCCCATTGGTTCCCGTCACTGAACCCCGCCGCCGCCGCCCGCTCCCCAGACACTCTCCACTCCCGCGACCCCAGGCCTAGGGGGAACTTCATCCGATTCAGAGAAATTCGTCTGACCGGGAGGCTGCGGCGTGTGAAGATCAATTTTACGTGTCCTCCACGTCAATCTCGGCAGTCGCGCCGGAGACGCGCGAGTTGGCAGCCCATTGGTTCCCGTCACTGAACCCCGGCGCCCCCCTCCCCTCGGTGAAACTCTACCCCCTCCCTCTGTCCTCCCCTTTCGGCCCTCCTCCGGAACCCATCCCATCCCCCTACACACACACACACGTACATGTACACGCACACGAACGGCCCCAACCCCAGCTGGGCCTGGGACCTTCCCCTCCCTCCGCTGTCCTCGCCCCTTGTGCCTTTCCGGTTTGGATACAGATGGGTAGTCATTTCAAACTGATGAATATTGATCAGTAATAGTACTAGTACTACTTTGGATTTTCGTGTTACTACCACCTCCACTGCCATTACTGCTGCTAAGATATCCGAGGATTAAAGTTGGTCATGGCAAGATGGTCAGCGTGTGGCTGCCTCTACCACCCCTTCCCCTGTGCCCCGGAAGCATGGTGCCAGCGCCCCATGTGTGAGCTTTCCAGCGGCACCTTGAGCGTTCAGCATGATGTAGGGCGACCGGCCCAAGGCGTTTGCTCTGTCCCATTTCTGACTGAGCCCCCAATCCTGCTTGCAGGAAATCTGTACAATGTTGTAAGGAGTCCCTGTTGTAAGAGGTGCACATTGTAGAGTCTGTCTCCCCGAGAACAGGCCCACCCACTCGAACTCACTCCTCTCTGAAGTGACACAGGACGAGTGAGAACCCTTTCTGACCTTTGCCCCAAAGACAGTTTTCTTCCAGTCCTGGAACCCCAATCCTTCCACATCTGAGCTGCCTGACCTCACCTTTCACACAGCAGAGAGGCTTCCAGGGGGCCTTTGTTAACCACTGACCGGCCTTTCCCCTCCACTTAAGGGGGAGGGGATACGCAGCCTTGAACTCTTCGGCCTGCGGGAGGAACTGTCTGTCAGCTCTTCTCCATGTCTATCTTGCATCAGCGCACACTCTGGCCTTTCCCGGCCTGTGTGGCTGACTGTGGCAGCCTCTGGGGGAGCTCCTCGGTGGGACTCAGGAGAGAGCAGGTGAAGAGAGAAAGCTCCAGGTTTTGCCCTGAACTGACACATGGAGGCCCTGACCTAGGAGTTCCCAGCTGGGGCCAGTAAGCGCCCAGGGCATGGGCTGAAGGTACAGGAACAGGGAGGGGGGCCTAGGCAGGACCTAGGAAGACCCGTGGTTCTCTGGACTCCCTGTGCTCCCAGCTCTCCGGATGGAGCGGGAAGAATTTTCCCCTCCCCACCTCCGGAGTCTAAAGCTTGGGAGCTGGCGGAGAGCTGCGCGTGACACCCGCGCCATGGTGCTGCGGGAGGCGCACTTGCACTACATCAGCCAGCCTGGGGAGCAGCGGCGACCGGCGACCGAGTCCCTGACCCCTTTCCCTCCGCTGTGCGCTTCCAGGGGGTCTTGAAAGTGTGGACGGCTTTGAATTAAGCTGTCCGAATGTGTCAATCAGGAGGGCCTAAGCCACAAATCTGTGCTCTCTGGAGGGAGGGCGCGGGGCCCTGCTTAGCTGGGGCTTGGGCCACAGGCGAGAGTTATCCTTGGAAAGGAAATCCAAGTTTAAAAGAGCCCCTCCTGCCTCACGAAAAACATAGTGCCGCCTCTGGGAGGCCGCGGGGACGGGGACGCGGATGAGGACAGTCAGTGCTCTGGCGAAGGGTGGGGCAAGGTCGGGATGGGGACAGGGTAAAGGCGGTTTGAGTTACGGTGCGCAAACCCGAGGCAGGGGCGCTGCAAAGAGCAGAGCAGCGGGCCGCACGCACCAGCCGCGGGGCTCTCCGAGGCTGCGTGCGGAGGGAGGCGCTCTGCTCAGTTCTCTCTAGATTCTTTTTTTAAAATATACTTTATTGATTTTTTTTACAGAGAGGAAGGGAGAGGGATAGAGAGTTAGAAATATCGATGAGAGAGAAACATCGATCAGCTGCCTCCTGTACATCCCCTACTGGGGATGTGCCCTCGACCAAGGTACACGCCCTTGACCGGAATCGAACCTGGGACCCTTCAGTCCGCAGGCCAACGCTCTATCCACTGAGCCAAACCGGTTAGGGCCTGTCTAGATTCTTTGGACCCTGTTTGTCCCTGATCTAAACTTTTGTTACCTGAATTTCAAGTCGGGCCCCAAAGACCAAAAAGGTTGATTCCTAGAGCTGGAAACCGCAGTGTCCATAACCCAGTGCATCCGAGATGTGGTGAAACAGGTAAGGTCATTTCTTTCCCCTGAAGGCGAGGAGTAAACAGGCACGCTCAGAAAAAAGATAATAAAGCTGACGGCACTTCGGTCAGAGCTGGTTCGCCCTCATCGTCCCACCTCGGCCAGTGGAGCGCCAGGCGCTGGCAAAGAGGTGCTGTTTAGAACGGCATCGCCTCCCCATTCCGCTGGGTGAAGGCCGTGCGGGCCTGGGGTAGACGGTTGGGAAACCGCCTGGGGGCTCTCTGGGGCTCCAGAGCCCGTCCGCCCTGACTCCCATCCTACCTTCCTCCCACTCCCCATCTCTCCAGCCGCCAGCAGCCAGCAGCCAGGTGGGGGACGCCGCAGCACTCCCAGCACCCCGCTCACCGCCAGCCTCCGGAAAAGCTTACGGTTTGTCGCCCCCTGTCGGCCCGCGGAACGGCTCCGCAGGTTCCCGAGGCCGGCTGGGTTAGGGGAGAAGCGGCCCAAAGGTGGGGTTGCAGAAGGAAAGCAAACGTCTCTCCTTCCTCCGGGGGATGCAGCTTGGTCCTCTCCACCACCGCGAAGCGGCGACGCGGCCGGCGCTGAGCGCGCGGAGGTATAAAGCTCGCGGGTTCCATGTCAGTGGGTTTGGCTGGGGTGGGCTCCCTTGTTTTGAGCGCCCTGGGCACAGCGGGGAACCAGATGCAGAGCGGCTCCCAGGGGGACACAAGTCGCCGAGCTCAGGGCGCGCGCCGGCACCGGGGACGTGGCGCGTCTAGCGGGGGCTGGACGCCCAGAGAGGCGGAGGACGGATGTCAGGGGCCCCGAGGGGCCTCGGGAACGGACCCAGGTTTCCCAAGGCAGAGCAAGGAGAGGCAACGTCCGTGCCAAACGCGTGAGGCCAAAAGGAGGCAGGAAGAGGGTGCCTGCCCTCCTAGGGACGGGGCAAGCGGCGGCTAGAGGGGTCTCGGGTGAATACTTGCCACCTGAGCCCAGAACTTGAATGTAAAGGCTGCGAGAGTTTCAGTGACAAGGTCGTCCCTGGAGCGACAGCCGCCCCCGCTTCACCTCTCCTGCGTCTCTGTGATTCTTGGTGGCACAGTTTCGGGGAATTATCTGGGTGCCCATAAAACGTGCCCGTCGCGATAGGCCAGGGTGTTCGGGGTGCCCGTGCGTTTCAAGGTCTTCAGGAGGAACCTAAACCAGCAAATGAAAGTCCCTCTCAAGTCCCGCAGGGCGGAAAGAGCCACCGCGGGCTTGGCGCCTTTTGGTTCAGCCACCGAGAAGGAGGAAACCCGGACCGCTGGCGTCCCGGGAGGGCCCCGGGCTTAGCCTGGGCCGGGCTGCCGAGCAACGCCGGTGCCCCCCGCCTCCCTCCTGGAGAGCAAGGTCGGGGTCCTGGGTTCCCCCAAACAGCCGCGCCTGTGGCCTAAGGGCCCTTCCACGTTCCAGCCTGCGACCTGGCTCAGCTCAGGCCGAGCGCTTTTGTTCCGATTTTAAGAGCACTGTGCGGTGAGTCTTGTGGATGGAAAACAAAGGTAAACCGAATCTCTTCGTTTTGTTTTCAATTTTACTTTAAAAAAAAACCAGCGCGGGCTACAAACGCACTTTATGCACCAGGTTACACTGTCCCCCTCCCCACGCCCACAGTTTTGCAAACAAGATCCCGCGTAAAGAGAGTAATAAGAGGAGGCTAGCTGCAAGGGGACAAATGGCTGGAGGAGCTGACCCGGAGCAGGGAACTGCGAGCTCTCTGGGAGCGCTCCAACGGAGAACTAGCTCGCTGGCCAGCGGGATGGGAGACGCAGCCACGAAACCCCACCCGGAGTGACTGCAGGGAGAGGGGGGAGGGGAGGAGGAAAGAGGGGGGCTCCGGGCTGATTTGGGCCCCCTGCGGGCGGGCGGCCGGCGAGCGCTTCCTCCCGGACGAGAGGCCTCGCGGAGAAGGGAGGTGGGTCGTTGCCCCCTGCACCTGCCGCTGCAGATTGGGACCCGCAAGCTTCCCAGACCCCAGGACCCGGAACTAGCGCCCTCGGCTCCCAGACCGCTTGTGACCGCCCTGGGACTGTGCGTTGTCCCAAGCGGATCCGGCGCGGCGATTCCCCGCCACTCCCGCTGCTGGCTGCCCGCGGAGAATGTCCTTGGAAATGCAAAGGGAGAGAAGCAAAAGACCTTGTTTTTCGTTTTCCTACAATGAAATGGATAAGCAAGGCCAGATGAATATCTTCTTGAGTGAATAACAGAACAGTTCCCGGCGTTCGTTTAAACTAGGCACAGGAAAAAAATTAGAAAAGGGATTTTCGGAGGAGCCCCCACTAGAAATAAACGGGGAAATTGAGCATCGCAAACAAAGATCTAAGGTGCTTTCTACCTTGCGATGCAGGCGTCTGACTCCGACATTTACATTCCTTTTGGAGTAGGACAGTTTTAATGAGGCGTTTGGGCGGTAAAAATAGACTACACAAAGCTAGTGCCATTTTTGTAAGGATGGTTTTGTAAGGAAGTCTTCTAAAAGACCCGTGTCCTTGTCATTCTCCGGAGTATATTCTCACGAGTGCAAAGTCCAGGGTTTCCTTTCTTG